CCTTGTCTAAATTTGGGCTGGCTGTGATGGCAGGAACCAGGACAGTCTTTCTTGCTCACGTCGTGTCCAGAGGATTAAGCCCAGAGCCTGGCCTCTAGAAGGAACTCAGAGGGGTTGTTGAACAAACATAGATGCACCCCCCCCCCAAAACTGGGGCCTGTGGCCCATCAAGTTCAGGTTCTTAGGGATGACAGGGTGGAGGCTCCAACATTGCCACCACTCAGACTGGGAGGCTGTGGGAGGGGTGTGTGGGGTGTTAGACCATGACCGGGGACATCCGAGCCCCGTGGGAGTCCAGTTCCAGCACTGACATGGGGGGTGAGTACCAATTGGGCAGTTACCAATCTCACCAGGCTCTGCTTCCTCATCTGGAAATGGGGACAGGTCAAAAGCCTCATGGGGATGGGTGGGGGGGCGTCCACTGAAGCGACACTGTGAAGTGCCCGGTGTGGTCTCTGGCATAGGCCGGGTATTCAGAGCCGGTCAGCTGCCCTGTCCCTCCGGGCTGTGGGACAGGGCAGCCACCAGTGGCCTGGCGGTGCCCGTGGCCCCTGAGCTGCCTGGCCATGGACAGGTGGGCCCTGGAGCATCCCCACCCCAGGGGACGGGTGCCCAGGCCCTGCCTCCCCACCCCCTGATATACAGCGGGCATTAGGCTGCCCAAAGGGGACACTGCATCCTTAGGAAGAAATATGTCCTCATTTTTCTTAAACACCGTTTCCACTGAGTGAAATGTTTAGAAGGGACGCACAGGGAGAACTTTATTTCCTACCAGGGAGTTCAAAGCCACCAGGCAGAGCCCATAAAGCACCCGGAGCCTGGTAGCTGACAGGCCGCCCAGCCCCGAAACACATTACTCACGAGTGCAGGGGGGGGGGCGCTGCCAGGCCTGCCCAGCCCCCAGGGACCGCCCCCCTCACCTCCGCCCACAGCAGGACAGGCAACTTGGAGACCCAGGCCTTGGGCACAGGGCACTGGAGCTTCTCATCCCCTTGAGTGTGGGCTGCACAGGTCAGGGAAGGGCCTGGCCCCAACCAGGCCAGGGGGTGGAGCTGTCCCAGCCACCCCCAACCCCTTAGTCCCCTGAGATGAGGGACCAGGGGCCCAGGTGCAGCTATAGGAGCCCCCCTGTCTCCCCCGTAACTGGCAGGAGCCCTGGCCTCCTCAGCCTTTGGAGGGAGTGATGAGATTCCTGCCATAACGGGCCCTTCTCCCGAGGCCCTCCCTTCATTTGATTTCTGAAGCTGGCTGATTTGAATATTTATAAATATCAGTAAATTATTTATTGTAGCAATCTGCTGCACCATTTTACCCATTGCAGTTAACACTTTAGGGGGCTCTGTGTTATGGGAACCAGGAGTGGGAGTGAGGAGGAGACGGGGCAGAGAGGCCCAGGACTTCCTACAGCCCACCCAGGAGCCCGAACTGGGGACGTGGTGGCAGTTCCAGCGCCTTGCTGATCCTGGGGCCTTTGTGAGCCCAGGCTCTGGGGTGTCTGCGCGGCTCCGGGATCAGTTGCCTCTTCCATCAAATGGGATGATGGCAGTCCCTGCTTGGCTGGGTCATCGTGAGGCATATGGTGAGATAGTACCCAGAAATGTATGTCCGATTTCTGCCCCCAGCTGCCTGCCGCCAGGATCTGCTCAGCTCAGAGAGGAAAGCGGCTTGCAGGTGGGCTGGTGGAGTTTGGAGCCCTGGGAGGGAAGGGTCAGACACTGGGAGCTGACGGGAGGGTGGTGCTGTTTTTGCTGAGTGGGCAGCCTGTCCCCCACCAGACCCCCCCAGCCTCTCTGCTCTCCCCTCTCTCTTCTGCGCCGGGTGAGGTTTCCAGGTCTTGGGATCTTGTGCCTAGATGTGCATCACACCTGCTTGCTTGTCCCCACCGGAGCTCAGCAGCCTTTTCTCAGGTCCTTGCTTGCCACAGCTCTCCCACCTTATAGCCCCGTGGCCCTTTCTCGGGGAGAGAGACCACCCAGGGTCCTGAGCTAGCAAGGGGGAGAACCAGGCTATGTCCTGGAGCTGTGCCACCTCCGGAGCCTCACCCAACGAGGCCAGAGCCACCGGGGCCAAGGGTGAGAGTCTGGGAGAGCCGCTGGGCTTGCTACCTATGTGCAGGTCCTGGCCGCCCCTTGCCCCGGGCCTGGCTGGGCCCACCTGAGCTGCCTCACCCCTTGCCTCCTTTCTGGAGCCCGGCCCTGAGTAAGCAGGGCAGGAGTCCCCTTGCCTTCCCACCCTCTGGCCGAAGCCTGCCTCCTGGGCAGTATTGTTCCCAGAGGAAGTGTCCAGTGTAAATAGAGCAGCGGGCAGGCTGGTGGCGGGAAGGAGATGAAAGGGGCAGTGACAGGGCCGGGGACGGATGGCTTCCTCCCATTGAGGCCTGGCCACGGCGTTTATATTTTAGGGAAGAAAGTCGGGGGAATGTTTACATGGACAGGAGCCTGGGGTCAGACCACGAGGGGGTGGTCTGTATGTCCCAGGGCCCTGTGGGAGGGGGAGGGGAGAAGAGCTCCACGGAGTGGGCCGGAAGGCGGACGGGTGGGCAGGCAACTTGGACCTTAGCTCTTTCATACTCCCTACTGCTGCCCTAGCCTCTGCCTCCCGCCTTGCTCCCCCGGCCCACATGCCTTCTCCTCCTCTACCCCTGGGGCCAGGAGTAGAGTCAGAGGGAGGGCAACATCTGGAAGGCAGGTGGGCTGGGGCAGAGCGGCAGCTGGAGGGCAGGTGTGGGGGGTGTAGGCGGAGCAAAGGGGCCTGCGGGCTGGGGGTGGGCCCTGGGTGCACAGCTGCCTTGCAGCTGGTGGGGGCCCAGGAGGGAGGGAGCCAGGCACAGGGCCGAGACCAGGGGAGGGTGGGCCCAAGTCCCAGGAGGCTCCAGGATGGGTGGGAGCCCGGGGAGGGGGTGTCACCAGCGGCAAGTGCAGCCCTGGGAGCTTCTGCTTCCCTCTTCCTTGGGATAAATATTTATAGATCCATTTGCTGTCTGCCATATACACTTGGCTGCTTACCTCCTGGTAAAAATAGAGCAGGCTCCCCTGCTCCCCCCGCTTCCCTTCCCCACCAGGGCAAAGGACAGAGGGGGCCAGGTGAGGCCCGCTGCCTGTGAGTCTGCTGGAGGAAACTTGGTGTCGTGCAGCCTGGCAGCCAGCCCAGCGGTTAGGTGGGACAGTGTGAATAGGGGACCCATCGCCGCACTTTGAGGAGGAGCCCACGTCAGTGCTTGGAGACTTGGGTGTGGGCAGCACAGACTTGGAGATCTGGGTGAACTTGGGTAGAGTGGGCCCCTGGCCTGGGCAAGGGTGGGGCCCGGCAGAGCCAGGCCCCCAGGACTGGGGGTGGAGCAGAGCCTTCTCTGGCAGGGTGCTGCCTGGACTGGGCAGGTCGCCGGGCCCCTGGGCTTCGTGAGGCCTTGTGCACCGGCGGCCGGCTGCGGGGCAGCTCTGGGGCTGCTGGACATCGTAGGAGCACCTGTGCACGCAAGCCGAGTCTCCTCCGACAGGGTCCCTGGGGAGGCCCAGGTGCGGTCATCCTGTCTGAGCGTGCCTCTCGGGCGCCTTCCAGGTGTGGGGGTTTTGACCCATTATAGGGGAGCCCCTTCTGCCCACGGCCTGGGGAGTAAAGCCCCTGCCCTCACTCAGCCTTTTGACCCCTGTGGGTGGAGACTCAGACAAGCCCACGCAAGGGGGTCCCACCACTGAGAGACCCCAGCAGGGCCCCCCGTGCCCAAAGCCGGTTTGGGCTGAACCTGCGTGTGGGGCCCACCACGGGATCTGGCACACAGCAGGAGCTGACTAAATGGATGGATGGAAGGGCGGAGGACAGACAGGCACGCAAGCAGGCGTATGTGTGTCCACACTTGGCCCTGTGGCAGGTCACAGGCTGTGTGGTGAGGAGACTTGCTGGGCGCTGGACCCCCACCCCGGACCCTGGGCGCCCCTGCTCAGCAGCCGTGACAGAGGTGGCAACACCTCGGGCAGCCTTCAGTAGAGTTTCCGTCTTGTGCAGGAGTTCGGCGCTGCGCCTGCAGCCTTCGGGCTCCCTGCTGGGGATCTGAGGAACCCAACCTCTTCCAGCTGTGGCTTCTCCAGGCTGGGCTGTGGGCTTCCCGGAATCAGCCAGGCCTTGGAGGGCTGCGGGAGCTGGCCGAGGCCGAGCAGGCAGGGTGAGATCCCCGGACAGGGATGAGCCGTTCTCGGAGCGGCTGTGAGGAGCTTTGCCTGGAATGGCCCTCACTGAGGCTTGGGGAAGGGAAATGGCCAGAGAATTCGAGCGGGTCTGTGAAGGGGAGGGGTGGGAGGAAAAACAGAGGCCTTTGGAGGGCCCTGGGTAGCCAGGGGCGAAGGAAGAGCTATCGGAGCTCTCCAGTGAGCGGAAGTAGGGGTCCGGGAGGGCCGGCCAGGGATGAGATGCTCAGGTGGGCAAGGGTGCCAGCCCCTTGTGACTGGGACGGGGGAGCAGGAGGTTGGTGCGCGCTGCTCCCGGGCTCTCAGCTGCCTCCTCCCCGCGTGGCAGAGGCTCTCAAGTAGTCAGGCCACTGTCACTTGCCAGTGCTCCCCAGTGACCGGCCCCTCAGCCGGCGTGCGTGCCTCAGTATCCTTGAGTGTCCGAGGACACGTTGTCTCCTCTATCTGGGGTCCTGTCTGGCCTGCCTCTCAGGAGAGGAACTGAGGGCCAAACAGGTGTAGGAAATGCTTCCAGAAACCAGGTGCTGAGGAAAGCCTGCCCCTGGTGTTTGAAGATTGTCCATGTGTATGCTCATTTACAAACAAGCTCTCCTTGAACCACCCCGTCCAGGCCCACCCAGTGCCCACCTCCGGGCACGTAGCTCTGGGCGAGCTGGGCCCCGGGCTTCACGGTCTGGGGAGGGGTCCGAAGCCCCACCATCCAGGCTCAGGGCAGTGCGAGGAAGGCAGGATTGGGAAGACCTAGGGCCTGGGGGCTGCCGGGGGTTGGGGGGCCGAGCCTGGCACGTGCCCGCCTCTGACCTCTCTGTCTGTCCACAGCTGAAGGCACCCGGTGCACCGACCCGCCCGCAGGCAAGCCCTCGATGGCGGCCAAGCGCAAAGGCGGCCTGAAGCTCAACGCCATCTGCGCCAAGCTGAGCCGCCAGGTGGTGGTGGAGAAGGGGGCGGAGGCGGGTCCCCAGGCCGAGGGCAGCCCGCTGCGGCCGCGGGACCGCGAGGCCGGCGTGGCCCGGGGCGCCCGCAGCGAGGAAGACAAGAGGCGGGCAGTGATCGAGAAGTGGGTCAATGGCGAGTACAGTGAGGAGCCTGTGCCCGTGCCCAGCCTGGGGCGGATCGGCCGCGAGGGCCTGGAGCTGCCCCCGGAGGGCGTCTACATGGTGCAGCCCCAGGGCTGCAGTGACGAGGAGGACCATGGCGAAGAGCCCTCCAGGGACGGCAGTGGCGCGGCAGAGGAGAAGGAGTCTAGTGGAGCAGCCTCCAAGGACGACAGCAGCCCCAGTGCCAAGCAGGCTTCAGGTAGGTGTCTGAGCCCCGGACAGACAGAAGGATAGATGGATGGCATGACCCTGGAGGGGAAGGAGTGGGGGGTCTGCAGAACCTGCCCGCTTCCCCCACTCATGCTCCCCTTATGGGTACCTCATTCTGCCCCACCAGTTCTCCTGCTATGGGGGTCTGGGGCCAAGGTAGTGGCAAGAACAGGGGAGACTTTTTTGGGGTGGGAGGGAAGCTTCCCAGTGTGAGCCGGGCTGGGGGCCGCCGTGAGCACAGTGGGTCTGATAGCCGCAGGGACACAGGATGGAGGACAGATGGTGGGACTGTCTCTCCACACCTGCATCAGAGAAATCTGCTGGGGGCCGGGGGGGCAGGGCTGCTCTGCTCCAGGATGGGTCTGCTGTCCCACCCTCCCCTGCCCTCTCCTGGAAGCCTTCCCCTCACCAAGGACACTGGCTGTCCCAGGCAGGACCTCTCAGGGGTGAGGCCCAGGGCAGCAGGATGGCCCCACCCGGCCCAGCCCGAATATCCCATTATACCCACCTGCCCGGGACACGCTCCTCTGGCTGACCTCTTTCCCCGCACGTGAGATGGCTAAGGCCTGGCTTTGCAGCCGTCTCCTTGTCCTCACAACTTGGAGCAGCCGGAGCTCCTTCCCCTCCTGGGAGGGAGGGCCTGTGGTTTCGGTTGGAGGGCCCATGGTCCCCACCGCTAGGACGGAACCCCAGGTCTGGGGTCTTTTCTCCAGCTCCCAGCCTCCTTCTCAGACCTATGCTTGGCGCCCCGAGCCTCCCCTGCCTGCTCCCTGATCCCCTTCCCCCTGCAGCGAGGGGCGCATCTCCTCCCTGCGCGGGGAGCCCTGCGCAGCCACATAATTATGCATATAAGATATAAACAGAGCTGTTTAATTATCCTTCGCCACATCAGTGACAGAGTAATTAACAAACATTGCAAGATCAATGAGGAAAAGTGTGACCTTCAGTTTCCTCTGATAGGAAAAGCCCTTGCCGTTCCCAGACACAAGGTGATTGTGCTGAGCCAGAGGAGAGGGAGGGACAGGGACAGGGACAGGGCCGCTTGTCCCGTCAGGGCCCCAGCCCCTCCCAGGACCAGCTCTGCCCTGACTTCTCCCTTCTCTCCCTGCAAGTGGAGAGCTGGGACCGTAGGAAGCAGGACTGGAGCTGCCAGTGGCCTCATGATCCAGGCAGGCATCGTTCCTCCTCGGTTAGAGGCCCCGAGGGACTGTAGTCTGACACCTGGGGCAGTCTGCTCAGCCTGGGGCACCAGATAGAACCAGCTGGAGCCCTAGCCGCCCACCGGGACTGGGGTGGGCCACCTTCTCTGGGCCTGGGGGCTCAGGAATGCAGGGGCTGCCCTAGACCCTCACCAGGCCCCCTCCCTCCACTAAGCTGCCTGCCCTTCAAAGCCTTCTGTCTCTCTGCCATATATAGTGAGGGCTCAGCTGCCTCCTGCTATTTTTAGCCCCTTTCCCTGGTCCCTGAACCACAGAATCTAGCAACCAGAGCCCACTCCTCCCAGGCTGGGCCCCCCACCCCACGTAGCCTGAGGTCAGGACAGTGGCCCACTGGCCACCCTGTCCAAGGAACGGCCACCTGTTGGCTCCTGGACTTACTCTGCCCACCCTGGGGGGCAGGTGCTGCCTGTGACTGTCCTTCTCACACGGACCTGGTAGGCGGGGATGGGGTTGGGTGGTGGCCCCCCATAATCGGCCACCGTGCTGGGGTCCTGGGCCACCTCGTTTGCAGCCACGCCTTCCCCGGCTGTCCCAGTGTCCTGCTGCCGAGTACGCCCGGCCTTGCTGGTTCAGGCGAGAATGGAGAGAACGTGTGTGTCCCTGAGGCGGGTGTGGGCCTCACTCTAGGTGCACCTGCCCCTGATTCAGGCACAGCGCGTAGTAGGTGTGGAGTGAGTTTCTGCACGGGATGAGCAGGTCTGGGCATGCCTGGAAGCCACACGTCTGCTGTGGTGGAAGGTCGTGTGTGCAAGGAGGCGGGTCCCCACAGGAAAAACCCCGGCAGAATAGGATCAGCTTGCCTCCACCACCAGGAGACTCGTCCTAGGGAGACGCGTGCAGGATTTGGGGTGGTTTGTATCCGCGCGTGTGTGTCTGTAGAGCTGGGCAGGTAGCCAGGGACGTGCGTGTGTGTGCGTGTGTGCACGTGTGCACGTGTGTTTGCTCACATCCCTGTGGAGAAGTCGCCCCGGACTGGGCACAGGGGGCCCCCAGACGCGCTGCAGTGAGCGCTGCTAGGGCTGGCAGGCCCAGCCTCTCGGTCCCGGACTCTCCTCAGGGGACCACCCTCACACGCGAGCAGTGGATGGCCAGGGGAGGTGCATAGGACTCCCCCCGTCATAAATCTTCACTGGGGCAAGGAGCCCTGAATGAGTCTGAGTAGATACCTCAGCAGGGCCCTGCCCCCTCCGCCCTGCTGTCTGGGACCCTCAGTCACCGGGGGGCCGCTGAGGAGTCAAGAGACCCGCTCGTGGGGAGGCTTGGGGCAAACTGTCCACCTCCCAGGGATGAGGGGCTGTATGTCCACTTGTGGGGGGCCAGGGAGAGTCCGCCAGGTGGGCTCAGCCAGTCCCAACCCATCCCTGTCTCCAGTGGCTCCTTCAGCTCCTGGGGTCCCTCCTGACTGCCCAGCCGCCACCCCACGTTCCTACCTGTCCCCAGCCCCTGTGTCACCCCACCCCAAGGAGGCAGGTTGGGATCTGGCGTTACTTCCAGTAAAGTGACTTCTCTTTCATATTAGGCCAAGGCAAGAGAGAGGAGACATTTATGAAACTTTGTTTAATGTACTGAAAAGCCATCGGCCAGAACATTTAGGAAATTGATTTTCCTGGCATTGATGAACTCGTTTTATTTTACCCCGGTATTAATTACTTTTTTTTTAAACAAATTAATTTAAGAGTCGTAAAACCTAACAAGTGAGCCAAATGTCCATAGATCATGTCGTGCTCCGCCCCCTCCCCACGCCAGCCTCCTCCCTCTGTGGGTGGGGGCTCGTGGGGAGGGGGCACCGCCCCAGCCCTCAGCCACCCTGCTCCCTCCCAGAGGTGACTAGGCTCTCCCTGTGCTACAGGAGAGGCCTCCTCGCTCCGGGACTACGCGGCTTCCACCATGACTGAATTCCTCGGCATGTTCGGCTACGATGACCAGAACACGAGGGACGAGCTGGCCAGGAAGATCAGCTTCGAGAAGCTACAGGCGGGCTCCACCCCTGAGGTGGCCACCTCCTCCGTGCTGCCTGCTTCCGAGGACGCCCTCAGCAAGCGGGCACGCTTCTCCAAATACGAGGAGTACATCCGCAAGCTCAAGGCCGGCGAGCAGCTCTCCTGGCCGGCCCACAGCACCAAGGCCGAGGAGCGGGCGGGCAAGGAGGGGACGGGTCCCCTGCCTGGCCTGCGGCTGCCCAGCAGCACAGCCCACCTGGAGACCAAGGCTACCATCCTGCCCCTGCCGTCACACAGCAGCGTCCCCATGCAGGGCCTGGTGGCCCGAGCCTCCAAGTACGACTTCTTCATCCAAAAACTGAAGACAGGCGACAACCTGCGGCCCCAGAACGGAAGCACTTACAAGAAGCCATCCAAGTATGACCTGGAGAACGTCAAATACCTCCATCTCTTCAAGCCCGGGGAGGGCAGCCCCGATATGGGCGGGGCCATTGCCTTCAAGACGGGCAAGGTGGGGCGCCCCTCCAAGTACGACGTCCGGGCCATCCAGAAGCCAGGCCCCGCCAAGGTCCCACCCACCCCCAGCCTGGCCCCTGCGCCCCTCCCCAGTGTGCCCAGTGCTCCCAGCGCCCCTGGGCCAGGGCCTGAGCCACCTGCCTCCCTGCCCTTCAACACTCCTGAGTACCTGAAGTCGACCTTCTCCAAAACAGACTCCATCACCACGGGAACTGTCTCCACTGTCAAGTAAGGCACCCCCTGTCCTGAACTTGGGACTAGAGTCGCCGGGAAGGCCACTCTCTGCCTCAGAAGGCTAGCCTTGGGCACACATCCACTCATACGTCAGACGTATCCACCACGCCCATACACATGTTCTCATACACATGCTTGCACACATGTGTGCACACACATGCACACTTACATACACACACACGTAATCGCTCATGCTCAGTTCATGGGCCAGACATTTCACAGTGTGCATACTTGCTCTCGCATGTGCTCATCCACCAACATGCACACCAGGGACTTCTGTGACCCCTGTTTCCCAGTGACAGGCTTTCTCCGCCTTGGATGTAGACTCACAGTTGGCTGGGGAAGCCCCAGTCCGGGTTAGGGGTTCTGGGCTCCAAGCTGGTGACCATGGCTCCCAGGCTAGAAGCAGCGAGAGAAGGCACGAGTCTGGGGTGGGGGAGAGCCCACTCTTGCTAACACCCAGGCCATGGCAAACTGCTCCCTGGATCAGTTGTGTGTTGCTGCTGTCTGCCTGGAGACAGACCCCAACCTGGGAGTGATCGAGGGAGCTGCCTTCTGGCCTGGGAGGGGGGCTTCTGACCAGCTAACCACACTTTCTTGGCACTGCTCTCGCCCCTTCCCCTGGGGTCTTCCCAGCATCCTCCTGACTCCAGTGTGCAACAGGGGCCAGGCCCCCGCTTCCAAGGCTTTCTACCCAGCTGGACTCCAGGTCAGGCCCACCACTCAGGTGGAGCCCTCCAGCCAGCCAGCTTGGGTGGCCCTGTCTTTGCCTCAGTTGGGCTTCTTGAACCTGAGCCAAGGTTCTGCTGAAAGCACTTTTCAATCCCACCTTGAGGGCCTCAGAACACGACAGAGCAAGAGAGGGAAGGGTCAGGGCCCCAGGGCAGGGAGCTGCCCCCTAGATGCTCCTGGGGCATGAAGCTACCCCCGCCCGCTAATCAGCTGTGCCCTGTGTATCTCTTGCCAGGAATGGATTGCCCACAGATAAACCAGCTGTCACTGAAGATGTAAACATTTACCAGAAATATATTGCCAGGTAGGCCCCTGGGGAGGAGATGGCCATGGAGAGAAGGTGGGTGGTGCCAGGAACGCCTGGGGACTGTGGGACCATAGGTCCGTCTGAGCGCCAGTGCCAAGGTGCCTGCTGCTTCCCCACTCTTGTGCACTTCTGCCCTCAAATTCCCCTGAGGGACCCCGCCCCATCTCAGAGCCCTTGCCCCTTAATGTGTTCTGGGCTGTATGTCCTCAAGCCCTAGGCAGTGCCACAGTGTCCGAAGGCCACAGGGGAGCCCAGAGCCCCACAATCGCTTACAGAGTCTTGGGTGGGATACAGACCAGCGCCGAACCCTTGGGGATGAGAAGGGGTGTGGGCGATGGTCCTCCCTGACCTGGCCTCAGTGTGGTCCCTAAACCAGGCCCCACCGCCCGACTCCAGACCCGCTCCTGTACATTTCTGAGGCAGTGGGATGGGCAGGTCGAGAACCTTCACCTTGAGAGATTTCCGCCAAATCAGGTCCCTCACTGCCAGCAGCCGATGGGGCAGCACATGGCAGGAGCTCTCCCCAGCCTCTGTCTTTCTGCTGATCTGCCCAGTTCTTCCCACCCTTCTCTGTCTTTTCAGCTTCCCTCCGTTCTCTCTATTATTATTATTATCATTATTATTAGGGCCTCAGCAGATGGCCCTTTTGGCAGCTTCAGCGTAAATTTGTATTTGCAAAGCCGTTCTCTCCGCATAAGGGGGTCTCCAGCTCTGTCCTGCCGGCTGAGACCCGTCTCCCTCCCTGCTGTCATCACGGGCTCTCCCCCAGAGCGGCCTCCCCAGGGTAGCCGGCGCCTTCGGGGCCTGGAGAAGGCACAGGGTTTCCCAGGAGGCAGGCCGCAGCCGGGCCGCACGGGGCTCCCGGCTGCCGGGTTGGCTGGAGCATAGCCTCCCTGCCGCAGGGCGCCGAACAGATGCTGCACTTTAAAAATTCATAACCCTGGGCTGTTTCAAGTGTCAGGAAAGCCTAGGAAAGAGAGAGGCTTTAACACCTCTCAGCAGCCGGGCCCTCCCAGCCTGTATCTGCTGCACCTAGCTGAGCCCTGGGTGGGGGGCCAGCGGTGGCCCCTGCAGGAAAGGCAGTCGGGCCACCATGGGGGCTCCTGCCCTCACCGCCTCCCCACATCCCATCCAACCCTATCCTATCCCAGCCTCTTCCCCTGTCTCTGCTCTGACTTTTGGCCTGCCCTGGCTTCTTCCTTCCCACCTGGGTGCTAGGCTTGTGTGCCTCCCTGGGCCCTCATCCCCAGGGCAGGGGGCAAAGGTCTGCTGTTCAGTGGCTCTGGGATTCATAACAGGTGCAGTCACGTCCCCTGCCTTTTTTAGGCCTCTGCCATTTCACCCCTACAGATTACCTCTGCCTCCTACCCCTGCACCCCAACACAGAGCCTCTGAACCCCAGCAGCACTTCCCTGAGGTGTAGGCACAGATTTTTCTCAGCTGCTCGGGCCGAGAGCCTGGGAAGTGTCCTCCCTAGGGCTGCTGGCCAGAGAGGCCTGAGCCCACCTCGCCTCCTCCCTGCAGGTTCTCGGGCAGTCAGCACTGTGGCCACATCCACTGCGCCTACCAGTACCGAGAGCACTACCATTGCCTGGATCCCGAGTGCAACTACCAGGTAGGGCCCGGTGGGCACCAGCCCTGCCCCCGCATGCCAGCCCCAAGGGGCAGACAAGCTTTTCACAGGTGTGTTGGGGGCGCTGAACCCAAGCAGGCAGAGAACCCAGAAAGCCATCTGATAGGATCCAGAGCCTTCTGCACCCCCGGGACAGTAACAGAAGCTCCCATTCCCTAGGAGCCCACCCTGCCCCAGGGATGGAGCCCGCGGGCTGAGGCCCCTTTTGGATGCCTCCCAGTGTCCTCGTGAAGTCAGGACTCCTGCCCCATCTAACCGATGATCACACTGAGGCCCAGACAGATTGTTGCTTATGGTCAAACCACCTCTGGTCCGTGCAGAGCGTCCCCTCTTGCTCACCAGGGGGCCCAGAGGCAAAAGTTGTCCTCAGCCCCCAGAGCCCCTGCCTGAGGGGCCCAGCCCACTCTGAGCTTTTCCGCTCCTGGGCATGACTGCGGGGAGCCTGGCGGGAGGTCAGGCAGGACAGGGTTGGGGGGTGTGGGCTCCGGAACCACTGGAATGGCTCCGACTGGGTCCCCGGTGCTGGACTAGAGGCCACGCGGGCTGCCTCTGCCTGAAGCAGGATTGTTCCCTGGGAGAGCTTAGGGCCCGCGGTCTGGGCTGTGGGGGCAAGGGTAGGGGCCAGCCCCCCCTGGCTGGCCGCCCCGACCCACGTGGCACTGTCCCACAGAGGTTCACGAGCAAGCAGGACGTGATCCGCCACTACAACATGCACAAAAAGCGCGACAACTCCCTGCAGCACGGCTTCATGCGTTTCAGCCCGCTGGACGACTGCAGCGTCTACTACCACGGCTGCCACCTCAACGGAAAGAGCACCCACTATCACTGCATGCAGGTGCCCACCAGCGGCGGGCCGGGCGGGGCCGGGGCGGGGCCGGGGGCGGGGGCGGGGCCGGGGGCGGGGCCGGGCGGGGGCGGGGCCACCCGTGGCCTTAATTGGTGCGGGCGAAATTCAGGGAGCTGTTTATACAGACCCACATTTTTCAGGCTTTAACACCAAGAGCTGCATCGCCAATGGTTCCCGAGGAGGTTTTTGTTTAATTCTCTGTTTTAATGCCACGCAGAGTCTGGGCTTTTTCAAGGTGTCAGGTCCCGGGCAAGTGGCTGGGGGTTGCACATAGCAGCAGGCGTGCGTCCCCCGGTATTTGTCAGGGGGTTGTTATGGGCTCCATGGAACAACCTGGGCCAGGAGCAGAGGGGGGCTCGGTCTCCGGGCCCTGAGATGGTGCAGACACTGGCACGGCCCAGCCTTCAAGAGCGCTCGGATTCCACGGGTTTTTACTCAATATGGCAACGTTGCCTGCCTTGGCCCAGCCCGGGTCGGGTGGGGAGGGCCCCGTGCCAGGAACTGTCCACTAATTGAGTCCCTGGGCTGAAGGTGACTGCCAGGCCCCCCAGGTCCAACCCTGCCCACCGCTAGGGGCTATGGAAAGAGAGGCACCAATGAGGGCCCCAAAGTCACTTCCTGCAGGAGGGGACTGCCACACCTCTACCCGGAGAGGGCATAGGAGAGGCCCTGAGGACAAGCCGGCCCTCAGCACAGGCAAGGCCTGGAGGGCTGGAGAGGTTGTTAGAGACTCCCCACGGCCCAGGGGGACGTTTACAGGGCCAAAGACCCTGAGCAGGGAGGTCAGTAGCCACAGCACGGCTGCTCTGGCCTGGGCCCAAGGGCTCCTGGCCTCAGTTGCCCCCACGGCCGTCCTGCCTGCAGGTGGGCTGTAACAAAGTGTATACCAGCACATCAGATGTGATGACCCACGAGAACTTCCACAAGAAGAACACTCAGCTCATCAATGACGGCTTCCAGCGCTTCCGAGCGACTGAGGACTGCGGCACAGCTGACTGCCAGTTCTACGGGCAGAAGACCACCCATTTCCACTGCAGGTGAGTGGGGTGCCAACCAGGGGGAGGGATGGGCTCAGGCCGGTGCGCCTGTGCGGGGCTTGGGGTCCTGCTTCCTCAAGGCAGTGGGCACAGGGGCGGGGGTCCGCCCAGAAGCTCCTCCTGGGCTCCCCCTTCCCCGAGGCCCTGCAACAGGCTCCCGACGTCCCATCCAGGCGCCCTGGCTGCACATTCACCTTCAAGAACAAGTGTGACATCGAGAAGCACAAAAGCTACCACATCAAGGACGACGCGTACGCCAAGGACGGCTTCAAGAAGTTCTACAAGTACGAGGAGTGCAGGTACGAGGGCTGCGTGTACAGCAAGGCCACCAACCACTTCCACTGCATCCGTGCCGGCTGCGGCTTCACCTTCACCTCCACCAGCCAGATGACCTCGCACAAGCGCAAGCACGAGCGCAGGCACGTCCGCTCCTCGGGCGCGCTGGGGCTGCCGTCCTCGCTGCTGGGCACCAAGGACACGGAGCACGAGGAGTCGAGCAACGACGACCTGGTCGACTTCTCGGCCTTGAGCAGCAAGAACTCCAGCCTCAGCGCCTCTCCGACCAGCCAGCAGTCCTCCGCCTCCCTGGCCGCTGCCGCCACTGCCACTGCTGAGGCCGTGCCTGGTGCCACCAAGCCTCCCAACAGCAAGATCTCCGGGCTGCTGTCCCAGGGCCTGCCCGCGTCCATCCCGCTGGCACTGGCCCTCTCCAACTCGGGCCTGCCCACCGCCGCCCCCTACTTCCCCATCCTACCTGGCCGGAGTGGTGCCTCCCTGCCTGTGGGCACCCCTGGCCTCCTGGGGGCCATGTCATCGGGGGCAGCGGCCTCAGCAGCCGCTGACACACCTGCTCTGGCTGCCTCGGGAGCCGGCGATTCTGCCCCTGCGGCTGCCTCCTCTGTCCCGGTGCCCCCCGCCTCTATCATGGAAAGGATCTCAGCGAGCAAGGGCCTCATCTCACCCATGATGGCCAGGCTGGCCGCTGCTGCCCTCAAGCCCTCTGCCACTTTTGACCCAGGTGAGCAGGCTGGGCCCTGCCCAGGAAGCAGGCGGCTCGCAGGCCCCCGGAGCCCACAGCATCAGTTTGCGGAGCAGAGTGGGAGTGGGGGTGGAGGCTGACGAGGGGTCTTTCTACTCCCACACCCACGGTCCCTGCCTGCTCAGACCCCCAACTTGCCTGGTCTCTGCTTCCTACTGTTTATTTGCTCTTGGGGGGGGGGGGCTCGTTCTGGCCTGCCCACCCCACCCCAGGCAGCTCTGGTCCCTCATCTGTGAAGCAGAGGTGGTTAAGCCTTCGCATCTGGGGGGCAACTGGTCCTTGCCCACTGCTCTGATTTTTCACCTTACCTCATACCACGTCTGGCCACTGATGAGAGCAGTCCAGAGGCCCATGTCTCCCTAGGGCCCCCTCTGTGTCCCTGGAGAGGGCAGGACTTCAGGGGTGGCCAGTGGGGTGGCCAGACTTCAGGGATCCTTGGGATTCACTCTTGGCCAGCCCCTCGAGGCCAGGGACATCTTGCCAGTCTCTCCCCGTCAGTCGGTGCCATCGGGTAGAACTTTCTGCGGCTCTGGAAAACATTCTGTTCTGTCCCGTATGTAGTCGCTAGTCACAGGTGGCTGCTGAGTGCTTGAGGTTGGCTGTGTGGCCAGGGAACTGGATTTCTACTGGAATTAGTTTAACTGAGTCACGCCTGGCCAGTGGCTGCCACGTGGGACAACACAGCCCGAGGCTCCTGGTGACACCTCCGCCCGCCCTCTGGCTTGCTGTGGGGCATGGTTCTCCTCTCTCACATTTTTACTCTTTGTAAACGTCTTCTGTGTCTCTGGAGCTCTTTGGCTTTTCTGTTTACCTGGCTCCTGTCCCCTGTGGCCCCCAGCCTCCCTTTGGCACTTGGCTGACAGAAGTCAGCTGCCACTCCATCCACTCACTCAACAACCACTGTGCTTGCCAGGGGCCACACACCTGGCCAGTGCTGGGGCACAGCAGGGACCCAGAGTCCTGCCTTGTGGAGCTGAAGGACCAGTGGGGATAGTCTGCTCACGGGCACTGGACTTGGACCTCCGTGGGCCAGCTCCTGAACCCTAGGCCCCTGCTCCTCCGTGAGAGCCTCTCGAGAACCCCCAAACCCTAAAGACCCTGCGGCCTATCCCAGGGATCTGCCCAGACCTCCCGGAAGGCCAGCCAGTACTGGGCGACGGGGCCAGGCAATGTCCTGGGGCACCTCGAGCAAGTGACTTTGGGGACCTCCCGGCATGTGGATGCTGAGTTCCAAAAACTCGTCTGTCCCCTGTGGGACGCTCCTGTCAGCTGGAAGTGGAGTGATCCACCTTTCGTTCCAGGTGTGGGAGGGACAGCAGGACCACCCTGGGGCCGAGCCCCTCTGGCCAGCTGCCTGCCGGCTGGGGTGGGACCCACTTCAGGGCCACAAGGGGCTCCGTGGCCAGACTGGCAAATTCTTCCTTTTCATTAGAAAAATCTCCTTCCCCCAAAACAAAGGTCAAGGGAAGGGGAGGGGGCCCGTTTTCCTTGATTTTTTAATAAAATGCCACTTCCTGCCTGTGAACCAGCCCTCTGTGAGCCGCAGTGCCTTGGGGCAAAGTAATATTTGAGCCACTTGGGGATTGTGGAACAGGACTCAGTGGACACGTTTCCATCAGCAATTTCTTCTGCTCAGCCTTTCCCCCAAGGGCTGCACCCCGCCAGCTCCCACCTAGCCCCGATGCAGCCCAGCCCGGCCCCGGTGGGCCTCCTCTCCCTGCCCCAGACAGCTTGACAGCCGAGGTCACGTAGTTTGAACCACTCTGATTGGCTGTCCGCTTCTGTATCACTGACAGGGCAGACGCCCCTCCTAGGCATGCTCAGTGGAAGGCAGGGCCGTCGCCCCGGCAACAGTGGGACAGGGACCGCGGAGGGGGCACAGCTCCCAGTCTAGATCTGCCACTTTGCCTCAGCATTAACAGAGTCTTTAATAAAAGCCTAAGCGGCAGCCCCACAAATTGACTATGACAGTCGGTGGAGAAAATGAAGGGCCCCCACCCCCGTGCCAGCCCCCTCCCCAGCCTCCCGCCCTTCTCCTCCAGGAGGCCCTGAGCCAGGACAACTTTGACATAATTTTGCAATAATTATCACTTGAAGAATTGCCACACAGGGGTAAGCGTCACAAGCGATCATGTCAGTGGGGAGAATCGCTGACCAGCAGCCAGGGCTCCCCCACAGCCCCAGCCCACCCAGCCCACTGTCCTCCCTGCCCGGCAGGGTAGGGGGTTCAGGTTTATGCCCAGAGGAAGCCCTCAACCACTCTAACACCATCTTCCTTCCCCTCCCCTGTAGGAAGCGGGCAGCAGGCCACCCCCGCCAGGTTTCCCCCGGCCCCGGTGAAGCAGGAGCCCGGTGAGAACGCTGGTGCCCCGGTTCCCCACGAGGTCTCCCAGGACCGCAGTTTAGACCTGACTGTGAAGGAGCCCAGGTGAGGCCTCCCAGCTCTGCTCCAGGCGACAGGCTCTGGGACAGCACCCCTGGAGGCAGAGCCCACAGAGGCCAGCCAGCGACAGCGACCCCTCTTAGCGGGAGTCATCCTCCTGCCCAGGCAGATGGAGCCTGGTGGGGGGGGGGGGAGTGGGGGCCAGGGCCCAAGGAGTGGACTGGGAAGGGTGAGTGTGCGGGCTCCGGCCCGCGTACATCCAAGCTAAAGCCCCTTGGTCTGTGTGTTCCAGTAATGAATCAAATGGCCACGCAGTCCCGGCAAATTCATCTCTTTTATCCTCGCTTATGAATAAGGTAAGGACCATCCATCACACGCCCCCCGTCCCCCACCCAGAGAAATTAAAGCTATGCTGGGGGGTGGGGGGGATGTGTTTGTTTTTTAATGTTTTGCCTCTAATAAGATGAGTTTGTACCATTTAAATTTTGAGGCCATTTTTCATCGGATATAATTTCAGAGCCACTGCTTACAAATTAATTTAATGAACTGGCTGAAGAAATATATTCCAGCCTCTGACACCCTTTTTTTCCCTTCAGATGGAGGGCTCCAAAAGCTTTTCCAGAACCCTCTAACTTCTTCTGCTCTCAGTTATTAATTTTATTTATTTATTTTATATATTTTTTTGTTTGTTTAAAAAGAGGTGGGGGAGGGGCCCTAAAGTGGGAGCAAAGCATCAATTTCCACTTTTCGGGTTGAGTAATGGTCTCGGACGCCTTCCGCAGAGGTCGCTCCAGAATATTTATTTTAAATAATGCAGGGTCTTTGTAAATTATACATCATCTCAAATATATTTTCCCCCTTCACATGATAAATTTGACTACAGCAAGATTAATTTGGTTACCGCACACAAGTGACTGCTGAAGGAGCCGGGCCCAGGCCGGACCTCACGGACGGGGGTCCCGGCTGGGCCCTTGGCAGGAAAGGAGCCCCCTGCCACCCTCTGCCCTCCGCCCCAGGCCCCATGCCCTCTACCTTCCCTCCCTCCCTCCCTCCCTCCTAGCTCTCTTGCTCTCCTTTTCCCTTCTTGGGTCACTGCCCCCTGCATCCTCTGGTTCTTTCCTGTCAGGCCCCCACGCCCCATGTGTGTCGAGCCTTTACACGCCCCCCCACTCCCCCTCTGGGCCCAGCAGCAGTGAGCCATCTTGATCTCACCCTGTGAGCCTCCCTCCCTCCCTTTCTGCTCCTCCTTTGTGTGCCTTCTCTTGTTCTCAAGGAATTCATAGGGGCTCCCCCCCCTCCTCCTGCACTTCTTTTGAAAACCTGGCAGGAAAATAACCAGGGAGCCACAAAGTCTGGGAAAAGCTAGGCTGGAGTGTGTGCCTGGAGTCTTGGCCTTACTTGAGTGATGGATCGTAGCACCCCGGGGTTTGTGTGGAGGAGTCCGGACATCTCCATGGGGCCAGGATAGTGCTGCACGTTGCCTGCAGCGACCTCCATTCAGAGCAGGCTTGGCTGTGGCCAGGCCTCCGCTCCTCTCTGTGGCTCTGGTCCGTTGTGAGAGGTCCGAGGGGCCCAGAGCTCCTCCTGCTCCCAGGGCGGCCACGTTTGTGTCCTGAGGCTCCCAGCCTCAAGCACAGCCCCTGTGCCCTTCGCAGATGTCTCAGGGCAACCCCAACCTCGGCAGCCTGTTGAACATCAAGACGGAAGCAGAGGGCAGTACCGCCATGGAGTCCTCGCCCTTCCTGGGCAAGGCTGTGAAGGCGCTGGTTCAGGAGAAGCTGTCCGAGCCCTGGAAGGTGTACCTTCGAAGGTGAGGGGTTTCCTGGCAGAGCAAAGGCGCAGGGAGGGCCACGCCCACCCTTCATGGTGGCCAGTGCCCCCAGGGTCTCCTCTGACCAGCGGTTCCTCTGCCAGGTTTGGCACCAAGGACTTCTGTGACGCCCAGTGTGACTTCCTGCACAAGGCCCACTTCCACTGCGTGGTGGAGGAGTGTGGCGCGCTTTTCAGCACCCTGGACGGGGCCATCAAGCACGCCAAGTGAGTGGGGGTCCCCAGGGCCCATGGCAACTCAGCCTCATTCATCCCAGCCAGACTCCAGGCTGGGTGGGGCCGGGGGCTGCGCAGGCCTCTAGCTGCCCTGTGTGCAGCTCCCACCAGACCTCAGAAGCTGAGCTGGCTTCTTAGAAGGTACTGCCTGAGAGAAAGGCGGACTTCCCCTCCCTTCCACCAGTTCAACTCCCAGCAGGGCCCTCTGAGTCCGCCCAGGCCCTACTTAGAGACCTGGAGCAGGGTCTGTTTCAGCTCCTCCCGCCCAGTGCAGCCGGACCACAGATGTTTCCTGCAGTTAGCCAGAGAGACCCTGCTCTGACCAGTCAGGGACCCGGAGTGAAGATCTTTCTAAGCCCCAGTTGTAGATTTGTCGATTCTCTTTGACCTAAAGATAATGAAATTAATTTGTAAACCCACTGAGCTGAAAAGCAGCAGTCCAGCCGCCCAGCATAACTGAACCCAGAACTTGTGGACATTTCAAACAGACCGAGGCTGGGCTCTGCTCCCTCCTAGGCAGCCCCAGATGCTCGTCTGCAGATGAGCCAGCTTCACCAAAGGCTGAGACCCGCCTTTAATTCTCAGAGCAGATTCTGGAAGCATGGACTTTGTGCACCAGGGCCTGGTGTCCCTCTCCCCTGCCCCACTCCGTGTAGGGAGGAGCTAGGGACAGCCACAGCAGGAAGGTCACAGGTAGGAAGGTGCCGTTGTGGCAGAGCCAGGAGCCCAAGTTCAGGCCCAGAGGATACAACCACTTGTCCATCCTTCCTTCCTGGTAGGATCACGCCTAGGGTTGGAGACTTGGCAGGGGGACACTGGGCCCCAAGGTTTGTGATGAGATCAGACCCCAGGAAAGGCTAGCTGCTCAGGGCCCTTGTCACTCCCCACCTGAGACGTGGCTCCGGCCTATTGCAGCTTCCACTTCCGGACGGAGGGAGGAGCAGTGAAGGGAAACACGGAGGCCTCCTTCCCCACCTCGGCTGCTGAGACCAAACCTGCCTTGGCCCCGTCATCCCCTCCAGCGCCTCCTGTCACCACAGCCACAGTATCCTCCCTGGAGGGTCCCACTCCCAGCCCGGCTGCTGTGCCCTCCACCCCCACGCTGCTCGCCTGGAAGCAGCTGGCTTCCACCATCCCCCAGATGCCTCAGATTCCAGCGTCAGTGCCTCACCTGCCCACTTCGCCCTTGGCAACGACTTCTCTAGAAAACGCCAAGCCCCAGGTCAAACCCGGATTCCTCCAGTTCCAGGAGAAGTGAGTCCCTCGATGAGCCGGGAGTCCCGTGTCCCCCGCATGTCTTGGGAGTAGGTGCTAGCAAGGGCAGCCGAGGAGGCCCAACTCCTCACCCTGCACTTAGCCCTGGCTGTCCCCAGCCTCTCTGGGACACCGTCACTGGGCAATGTCCTTCTAGCCAAAGATGCTGCTGCTCAGACCTCCCCGCATTGTTCCCAGAGTGGCCAGCTGGGGTGGGGGGAGATGGTGGTGGTCGTGGCCGCTGTTCCAGAGGGGCAGTGTTGACACTGCGAGGACCAGCTTAGGTGGGCTGGGAGTGGCAGTCCTTGCCTCACAAGGAGGGCTGCGTCTTGCCCTGGGCCTCCTTGTTGGTCTCTGTGGCTCATGTTCATGGCCGACCCTTTGCAGAACAAGAGAAGTCATGGGTGGGGGCGAGGGGGCTAGGCACCCGCCGGGCCCGCGCCCATCTGCATGATGGCCTGAGCTCTCAGGGGCGAAAGGGCCCCTCCTCACTGGATGGTGGTGGTGCCTTGTGGCGAGAACGGTGACTCTGTATCGTTACGTGTGCGGTTTCCTGTTCTCAATAAAAGTAATAAATTGGATGTGAACAACACACGGCCTGAGTGGCAGCTGTCCTCCCTCTCTGAGCACCTGGGGCTGGGCTATGGCATGGAAGGGGACCTGCACTCCTCTCCGTTCCTCCCCGGGCTTCCTTTCCTCCGTGCCGCCTCCCCTCAGCGGCAGCCCTCTTAGTTTCCACAGTGTGGTCAGGTGCCCACCCCGGGGCTACCGTGGGGCCAGCCATGCGGGGGGCCAGGGTGGAAGGCCAGCGTACAGCGTCCTCCCCACCTGTCTGCCCGCCCATGGGGCAGGCCGTGGGGCAGGGCTGCTGCTCCTGGGGCCGGCCAGCACGGGGGCTTGGCCCAGCACCCCTCTGCTCCCCGAGCTCTACCACTCAGCCGGCCTGTGAGGCCCTCTGAGTGGATGGGAGCCCCACACCCTGGGCCAACTTTGGGGGGCCCCTGGCAGCCATGCGCCTCGGCAGGACCCAACACAGGCACACATTCCCAATGGCCAGGGCCCCGTGGTAGCTGAGCTTCCTGGTAGGGCTGCCCACCCATCTGCACCCTGTCAGTCAGCCACACCCAGGGCAGTGCCCGTGCCAGGCCAGCCAGGCCCTCACTGGCCCCCCGCCAGAGCTGGCAGCACCATCTCTCATTTTCACATCCAAGAGGTTACTGCAGCCGTCCTTATCTATAATCCTGAGATGTGGCCATGGAAACTACGTGTCCCAGCATGCAATGCTCTGGGCAGCCAGCACAGTGCAATCTTTACTGCCCCATCCAGTCCAAAAAGCAGGCAGGAGTGCATGCTGGGATCTGTAGTCTCCTCTGGCCAAAGCCACTTGCTGCTCAGAAGGGCAGCCCAGGGGCCATTCCTCTGGGCTGCGCCATGGGGGATGAGGGAGCAAAACCCCGACACGACAAATGTCAGGATGTCAGAAGGGAGGGCCCTGGCAATGCCAGTGACCTTCTGGGCTGTGGTTTCATTCCAGCGACCCTTGCCTCACGACGGACTGCAAGTACGCCAACAAGTTCCACTTCCACTGTCTCTTTGGGAACTGCAAGTACGTGTGTAAAACCTCCGGCAAGGCCGAGTCGCACTGCCTGGACCACATCAACCCCAGCAACAACCTGGTGAACGTGCGAGACCAGTTCGCATACTACTCCCTGCAGTGTCTCTGCCCCAACCAGGTTAGCATGGGAGCCGGGGAGGGCCGGGGCCGGGGCAGGGCCTGGGACCAGCTCCGCCCGGCAGGAATTCCTGCCTTATGCCCTCCGCCCTGGAAAGGGCGGCGACGGGCTTGGGCTTTTGGAGGCTCCTGGGCAGGGGTCCAAACTGGGGCTCTGTTGGTGAGGGTCGTCACGTCATTCTAGCCCTCGGTGGGGACCTCATGCTGGACCACTGCTCCATGCCTGCCATCATTCCACCCACTCTGGAACTGTGCTCCCTCTCCCCAGATGCCTAGCCCACTGGACAGCTAGAGATTGAACTGTCCATGCCCCAGGCAGGAAGGGCAGATCAAGTTCACCTTCATAAAGGCCTACCCTGAGACTAGTAGGGGTTTGTCAGAACGCCTTGAGGAGGAGTCTGATCCCAGAGCTGAGTGATGCGGGGAAGAGCACGGGGATAGATTAGTGATGTCTGCTCCGGGTGTGAGATCAGTAGCGGTGGGCAAATCACCAGGTCGATGTTTCAGTGAAATGACAAAAGGGACATACTGCTTTTGGACACGTGAAAGGCCTGTACCTGATCATGTTTCCTGATTCTGAGCACAGAGGAGGGCCTGCCATGGCCCAGAGGCGGGGGCCAGGTGGGAGCTCACAGAGGCCACTGGCCTGCTCCTGACCCCCACCCCTCCGCCCCTTCCTGCAGCACTGCGAGTTCCGGATGCGCGGACACTACCACTGCCTCCGGACCGGCTGCTACTTCGTGACCAACATCACCACCAAGTTGCCATGGCACATAAAGAAGCATGAGAAGGCCGAGCGGCGGGCGGCCAACGGGTTTAAGTACTTCACCAAGCGCGAAGAGTGTGGCAGGCTAGGTACGGGCAGCCGGGACTGGGGAGGCAGCTTGCAGCAGGTGGCGGGGTGCAGCTCTGGCCCCTTCTCCTGGTACCCACCTCTCCTCCCTGCCTCTCAGGCTCTGCGGCTCGTTAACGTCCCAGATCTCACAGGCTGGGGAAAACCGTCCAAAAAAAGAGCCCTAGAATCGGGGCAAGGGTGACTTGGAGTGCCCCAGCCAGCCCCCACATCCCCCGGGGAAAACGCCACATGGGCAGAGTCAGGCCCTGAACCTGCTGCTCTTTCCTTTTCCCTTGAGGCCATGCGGGTAATGTAGGAGTTCCTAAAGTGGCCCGCCCTGGGATCTCTTTCCCGGGCTTACACGACAAGGGCTTTGTCCAGAGCGGACCCTGCTTTGTCTGCTCCCGTGGTCGTGTAGCACATGTCATCGAGGGACGGCTGTGAGTGGAACGCACTGTTGCAGGAGGTGGCAGGGCTGGTGGCAGTCAGGGTTTGGAATATCTGCTCTGGCCAGCACCCTGCTTGGTTGGGGGGAGCTGGTGGGACAAGCAGGGGCACTGTGGGTCAGCCCAGAGTGTCTGCGATCTGGGCGACCCAGAGGGAGGTGGCCGTAGTGTCAGGAAGGAGACCACATGTGCCCTGAGCTTCTCAGCAGATGCCGGGGAACGGAGTCCGCTTTGAGAGCTGGGCCCTCAGCTGGAAAGCCGGCCACAGCCCCCAGCCATGGCCCCTGAGTGGGGGTGTCTTTTGGGCTCCGCCATGAGCGGGCAGAGGCCAAGCCCACCCATCTGCCTCGGGATAGATCCGTGTGTTCCCAGGCCTGCTGAGTGGGGGCAGGAATCTGCCAGGAACAAACTGGAACCTGGAAGGCAGGAGGCCATGAGGCAGGCAAGCAGACCTCTGGGCTGCAGGCTGGGCCTGCTGGGACTCAGGTGGCCAGAGCCGAGGTGGGGCCGCTGCCTCTGCTGACTGCCCCTTCCAGAGGGAGAGGGTGAGACACCCGGGGCGACTGCCAGAGAAAGGCAGGAAACAAACCTTTCTTTCAAGTATTAATTCAAGAAGAATTCATGGCCCCGGAGAGGGTTGGTAACCGTGGCAACAGATGTCAATATTCGGTGGCCCGTGCTGTCCTCAGGCTCAGCTTACGGGTGTCGGGGAGCTCCGTAGCTGTCTGTATTTACTCAACTTTGGGGGGTTTGGGTGGTAGTTGGGGCCAAACAAAGCTGGGGGGTGATATAAGACACCTGGCCAGCCCTGGCGCCATGGAGACGGGCAGGCCTTCACCTGCCCTGTGCCGACACTGGCTCAGCCCTGCCCGCTGTTTGTTCTCAGCCCAGAGCCAAGAGGAGGTGGTGGGGGCAGGGCAGAGGCCTAAACAGAGCCGGGGACAGGCACCGGGGCTCCCCAGAGGGGACTGGGGGACACATCTCGCTTGCTGGGAGGGGGCTGACCTGGTGGATGGGTCACTAAGGTCTCTCGCCTGGAGCCCCAGGAGGGGCCGGGGATGGGGGCCCAGCCTGCCATGGCACACGCCCTCATGCCCCCCCGGGGATGGGGTGGAGTACAAGCCCTTGGAGGAGGAGATGGGGGGACGCCGTTTTCACTGCGGGCCACACTTCCCCGGGGCCCAGACGCTGTGACCCGCAGCAGGTGTGGCGGGCGCTCATGGCCGGGCGGGGCTCTGCCCACAGGCTGCAAGTACAACCAGGTGAACAGCCACTTCCACTGCATCCGGGAGGGCTGCCAGTTCTCCTTCCTGCTCAAGCACCAGATGACCTCCCACGCCCGGAAGCACATGCGGAGGATGCTGGGGAAGAACTTCGATCGCGCGCCCCCCGCCCAGGTGAGAGCCCGGGGTGGGGCGGGCTGGCCGCCACCCGCACCTCTTCCCCTGCGCCGGGGTGGCGACAGGGCATCACGGGAGGCAGCCTGTTCTTGCTTCCAGGTGGGGGTGGTGCACACCACCCCAAAGCGACAGCCCACCCCCCCCGGGGGGGGGCAGCTCCACTGCCAGCCCAGCTTCCTCAGGGCTCCCCTGCTTGCTTCCAGGGCCCCCCGAGCCTGATGGATGCGGAGACAGATGACTACATGGACTACACGGGCTGCAGCCCTGGCGCCGTGTCCTCCGAGTCGTCCACCATGGACCGGAGCTGCTCCAGCACCCCGGTGGGCAACGAAAGCACTGCGGCCGGTGAGTGCGGGGAATGGGGACTTCCAGACGGGCCCCTCCCTTCCAGGTCCCCAGGCACTGCTGGGTCCCCCTGAGGACTGGAGGGTCATGGTCAAGTGGCCTCAGAGGGAGCCAGAGCCGGCCTCCGCGTGTGGCACGGGGGAGCCTTTGGGACATAGGTTGAAGAGGCCATCTCCTGCCAGCACTTAGCCCTTGGCTTCAGTTTCCAGGAGGGGACCCTGGGTTGTCCTCTCCGAGCACAAACAGAGTAGCACAGCCCTCCGCCCGGAGGGCAGGTAGGCCGGGATATGCCAGAACCGGGGGCCCAGGCACCTGGCCCACCACCCCAGCGGCTGGCCCAGAACGGACTCCGCCCCAGGCTGGGCTGGGCCACAGGCCCACCCCGAGGCCGCCGTGACCTCCCCCTGCACAGCCTCCCCCTCCCGTTCTCTCCTCCCCCTGCCACCTCCTTCCCTACTCTCTCGCGTTGCCTCTCTGCTCCTCCTCTGTCCACATGTTTTCATATCATACTTGCTTCTGCCATTGGGTTTCTCATTCGGGTTCTTTTTTGTTTGTTTTTTCTTTGTTTTGGTTTTCTTTTTTTTTTTTTTTTTTTTCTGCTTTTCTCCACCCTCTCCAGGCTGCCCGGCTCCTCTTCCACCTCCTCTTCCTCCTCCTGCTGCCGCTGGCGACGAGGCTGCCCGCGGGGCTCCGCAGCCCCCACTGACCCCATCCTTCTCAGCCGCCGTGCTCCGGGCACCCCTCCCCTCCCTCCCATGCCTCTTTTCTCCGCCCTGTCTCTCATACTCTCTGCTCAGTGCCACTCTCGGAGCCACGCGGGGCCTGGGCCACCCTGTCGGCAGCCCCCCCCCGCTTCCCGCCCGCCACTGCCACTCCAACTCCAGTAAAAAGTGACGTACCCCTAGTTCAGGATGCCGCAGGTAATTCGCACACATCTCCTCACTGGTGTCTGTCACCCCAGCCGACCCTCAAGGCCATGATCCGGCACCTGACCTTTTTCTGTGGCTTTGCTGGGCCGAGGACCAGGCCACCTTGTGCCCCTCACAGCCCAGTACCCCCAGCCCGAAACCGGAGAGCCTAGTCCTGCCCCGCGGACAGCTCCTCTCGACTCCTGCCTGCACTGGGTCCAGGCAAGGTCCTGACGGCAGCCTGAACCCCATCCCTGGGGCCAAGCAGGGAGAGGCAGGGGGTCTTCAGGGCCCAGCCCCAGGCAGTGCTTGCTGGCAGAGGGACCTCCTCTTCCCACCCCCCACCTCCACACATCCAATGCTGTGCAGGGATGAGACCTACCTTCCCTCTCCTTTGCTGTACTTACCACCCCAGCTCTGCACCTGCCCTCACTCATTTGTGCCTCCCATTCTGCCCGAGTGCCAGGCCAGTACTGTGCAGACCTGGGGCTGTGGCAGAGAGCAAGGTAGAGGCCCCCCCCCCCCCCCATGGAATTCAGCCCATGGAAAGCTGTCACTAGCATAACCAGACAGGACCCTGTGACAGCAGCTGCTGCTCACACACCTGATCTCCTAGCCCCAGGCCGTCCCTTGTCCTCTGCTGGGCACCCACAACCCATGGCAGGCCTTGGTTTCACCAGCTAAGGGTAGGTGACTGGGTCTATACCTTAGTGGACGGTGCAGCCCAGTGGGGCCGTGCAGGCTGGGCCTTCTAGGCAGGTTCCTGGTGGGCTGAATGGGGCAGCTACATGGGAGAAGCCTGAGGGGATGCCCACCCTTGACCCTGGCTAGGGCTGGGCCCTGGAGCTTTCCCTCTGGTTTCTAGGCTGTGGGGCAGGGAGCCCTAGGATGGCCACCCCTTCCCAGGTATCCTGTGCCGCACCCCTCACCCTGCAGCCACAGGGCCCACGGTGTATCCCAGAAAGGGGATAGCGGAAGAAGAGCCACACTGCCAGTCAGGCAGCCCTGGCTATAGGGCACCCTAAGTCTAGGGAAGCAGTCGGGTCCAGGAGGGAGGGCACAGATGGGCACCCATCTGTTGGCTGAGCCCCTACTCTGGCCCCGGGCCCTCAGCAGAGCTGCCCTCTCCCGGCTAACTGGGGCCAGAAGACCCCAACAAGATCTTAAAGAACCTTCTGGTACAGAGGGGAAGGTGTCCCTCGGGGCAGGGAGTTACAGTCCCAAACAGCACCGGGGTGCCTGGCCTCCCTTTTGCAAGTAGGCTGGTCCCCTGGGCAGACAGGTGGGCAGCCAGGGGAACTGGTTAGCCAGCCAGAGAAGGAGCTGGCTTGTCCCTCATTAGAGGCGGGTGCATGATGGCGTCCTGGCCCTCGTCCAACCTGAGTAATTATACTCTGCCGACCTAGATTCCCCCTTCAGCTTCAATTAGCACCAGGACGTGTCCTCACTTCCCACCCAAACTGGCCAGGAAGCAGCCACCACATCCCCCCACCCCCCCGCCCCGAGCTACTTGCTCTGCCACCCCAGGCGGATGCCTGTGCGGTTATCCTGCAGACATGGGATGGCGCAAGGGAAAGCCTGGGGCTCCCGGGCTCTTCTGGGGAGGGGGAGGGCAGAGGCCCCTAGAGCCCCCTTGGGGCCGCAGGAGCCAAGGCGGTGACCCCCCCCCCCAGGGGCACCCTCTGGCCGTGGTGCCAGGCTGAGAATGGTGCCCCGGGGGCACTGACCTCCCCCCGCCCCTCCCCAGGGAACACCATCTCCATGCCGACAGCCTCCGGGGCCAAAAAGCGCTTCTGGATCATTGAGGACATGTCGCCCTTCGGCAAGAGGCGCAAGACGGCCTCCTCGCGGAAGATGCTGGACGAGGGCATGATGCTGGAGGGCTTCCGGCGCTTTGACCTCTACGAGGACTGCAAGGACGCAGCGTGCCAGTTTTCGCTCAAGGTCACCCACTACCACTGCACGCGGGAGAACTGCGGCTACAAGTTCTGCGGGCGCACGCACATGTACAAGCACGCGCAGCACCACGACCGCGTGGACAACCTCGTGCTGGACGACTTCAAGCGCTTCAAGGCCTCACTCAGCTGCCACTTCGCCGACTGCCCCTTCTCCGGCAGCAGCACGCACTTCCACTGCCTGCGGTGCCGCTTCCGCTGCACCGACAGCACCAAGGTCACGGCGCACCGCAAGCACCACGGCAAGCAGGACGTGATCAGCGCGGCGGGCTTCTGCCAGTTCAGCTCGAGCGCCGACTGCGCGGTGCCCGACTGCAAGTACAAGCTCAAGTGCTCGCACTTCCACTGCACCTACCCGGGCTGCCGCCACACGGTGGTGGGCATGTCGCAGATGGACTCGCACAAGCGCAAGCACGAGAAGCAGGAGCGCGGGGAGCCGCCCGCCGCGTCCCCGGGCGCCGCCGTCGGCCTGGACGGGGCGCTGTCGCTGGGTGCCGAGCCCGGGGGCGCCCTGCTCTTCCTGCCGCCCGCCGCCGCCGCCGCCGCCGCTGCCGGCGGGCCGGGGGCGCTGGGGCTGGGCGACGTGGGCGATCCCGGCGACCCCGGCCCGCCCGACGGCCCCGGGCCCCGCGATGGCCCCGCCGCGCCGGCACCTGGCCCCGCCGCCGGGGAGTCATCGCAGGACGACGAGGAGGAGGAGCTGGAGCTGCCCGAGGAGGAGGCGGACGACGACGACGACGACGACGAGGACGACGACGACGAGGACGACGACGACGAGGACGACGACGACGACGAGGACCTGCGCACCGACTCGGAGGAGTCGCTGGCTGAGGCGGCGACGGCGGCGGCCGCGGGGCCCGGGGCGCGGAGCCCGGAGCTGGCGGCCCCCGCGCCCGCCGCAGCCTCTCCCTAGCCGGCCGTCGGGGGTGGGGGGGCCCGGGGCCGGGGCCGCCTCGCCCGCGCCCCTGCCCTGGTGGCCACTGCGATTCCCTTCGTAAGAGATGCTGTGTCTGGGCAGCGCTGCCCTCGGTCCAGAGCGAGACGGTCGCCCCCGCTGCCGGGCTCGGGGCGGCCCCGCCGGTGCTTCCGGACCCCGAGTCCGTCTCAGGACAGAGGCGGGGGCCTCCCTCTGGTGCTCCGGGGCCGCCCCCGCCCCGCCCGTGGCGCGCGGCCCGCGGCTGGAAGGACAGGCTGCGAGCGACCCTCCTCTGGCTGCACTTCGGGGATCTTCTTCTTCAGGGAAACAGAAGGTGCTCTTGTCCGGGGTGGGACCGAGGAGCAGGGGCCCCCACCCCCCAGGGCCAGGCGGGCGCCGACGACCGGGCAGCCGCCCCCGCGCGCTCCTCCCCGCGGCCGGACCCCGGGCCCCACGACCAGGCCGGTGGGATTCCTCATTGCTCAGGACTGGGAAGGGCGCTGGGGGTCACCGCGGACCCCCACCCCTCACCCCCAGAGGCGGCCCCAGCAGCATCTGGCAGGGCCTTCCATTCATGCAGCTAAGAAGCCTCCTCCGGGCCCTGGGGCGTTGGGGGGGGCGGGGCAGAGGCGACACTGCAGGGACCGCGGAGGGAACCTCATGGAAGAATTAGGCGAGCTGGGAGGCTGAGGCGCTGCGCCCCACCGCGGGGCCCAGCCTTGGCATCTGCTCCCGAGGGCTGGGGCCCTCCGCCTGCCCATCGGTGACTCCCAGGCCCCAGCCTCTCCCCCTGGGGGGAGGCGGAGGCTGGGTGTGCTTCCAAACCAACGAGCAGCGGGTGCTGGGGTGCTGGGCCGCACAGGGGTTTCAGCCACCCACGTGGGGGGAACAGGAAGGATACCACTGTTTGGGGCTTTAATATTCAAAATGGGGGGAAAAATGCGAGAAAGTTGTACAGTATTTTTCCTGTAAAGGTTATTATTCTACATAGAACAAAAAAACGAAAAAAAAAAAAAAAAAGGCAGGCGGGCCCTGAGAGCACAGGCCCGCCTCGGACCAGCCCTGAGGTTGGAGACCGAGTGCAATCGCTCACGTGGGATTTCGTTTCGCATTGATTTTCGAGGCCTTACCAGTCTGAGGCTGTCTGTCCTTACACTAGCACTGACGGGAGCTGCGTGATTCCAACTTTTAACTTGAATTTTGTAGAAACAAGGAAAAAGGACTATTACTGTTGATACAAGTTTGTAGTTAACTTAACAATTGAGTTTTTCTCTATTGGTTATGCGTGTGGCTTTATAAGGCTTTTTTTTTTTTTTCCCCAGTTTGTTTTTATTTTTTGTTTGTTTGGGATGCTTCTTTACTGGTGCAACCCACCCAGATTTGCTTCCCTTTGCAAAACATCCCCCATTCCCAGAGTGGATGAGGTCACTGAGCCCAGCTTGGCAGGGTGGTGGGGGGAGGTCACCAGGTGGCCAGTGGCTGTGACGGGGACAGGGATGAGGGCAGAAGGCCCGAGCGTCCCGTGTCTCCAGTCCTGGCCACCAGCCTGGCTCAGGTGGGACCCTGAGACTCGGCCACAGGGAGAGAGCCATGCCCAGCCTGGAGGAGGCCTGTCACCCAGAGCCTCCCCGCAGATCTCCAAGGGGAGCCCCAGATGGCAGGGGAACTGGTTTTTTGTTTTTGTTTTTGTTTTTTTGTCTGTGTGTGTGTGCGCGCGTGTTTGTGCCTGAGTGTGTGTGTGTGTGTGTGTGTGTGTGTGTGTGTGTGTGTCCTCTTGGCTGCCCACAGCCAGAGAGCCAGGATCATCTGCACTGGAGAGGGAGGGAGGAGCGGCCACACGGAGCGGACCTGATTCAACAGGCAGCAAGTCGTTGTCTAAAACAGCCCCTACCGGAGCCTCCTGAATTCTGTGGGCGCCGCACGCGGCTGCCAGGCACCTGCCCAGACTCTGTGCCCCACCGCCGAACCGCTGGGTGTGTGGAGGGAGTTTTATAAAGGAAAACAAACAAAAAAAGAGAAAACAAAAAAACAAAACACAAAAACATTTTTCAATGTAGCAGAATTAAAAAGAAAAAAGAAAATCGAAGATGCCGACAGTGCGAAGTCTAGCCTTTTGTAACCTTCATGTTGCACACTAGGACTACAAGCCATTGCTAGCTCATTTTGAATTTTAATGTGTAATTTTTGTTTTCTTTTCTTTCTGTGGGGAAAACAATGCTTGATCCACCAATGCTCTTTTTAATGTTTTATAACTATGTATGTGTATATATATAAATACAAAATAATATGTATGCACATATGTGTGTATATATCTATATGTATATACATATATAGATATATAGAGATATATAGAGAGGTTTTGAGACGAAAAATGCAGAACGTGAAAACCGAACTCAACAGCGTGTGCTCTGATTACTTGAATCTGGTCTCCTCGGCACCTGGTTAACTGAATATTTTTCCACTTGAATTTAGTGCTATTAGAAATTTAATATATGTGTTTTATTTATTTGATTTTTTTTTTTTTTTTGCATGACTGATGCAAGGTTTGACATTTTCACTCAATAAAAACTGGAAAAAAATCTATCAAATGATCTTTTATTTTTAAAAAAATCAGCCCCAAGTGGCTGGCAGGGACCCAGCTGTGCAGCGTGGCCCAGCCACAGCCGGGCTCCACAGGCCAGGGCGGCATGGAGGGAGTCAGTCACCCCTCAACCCTGGCGGGAAAGGGGCAGACCAGTTTCGCCCTGGGATGGGCCCAATTTCCTACCGGTTGCTGGGCACAGGCGGTGGGGCGCTCAGGCCCTGTGCACTCAAAGGGCAGCCTCCTTCCCCAGCGCTGCCTGAAGCCCCTGCGTGAGGCTCAGGGGCTGCTGGAGGGCACAGCCGACTGGCACGGAAGCCTCTAGCCTCAGGCAAAGGTTCCATGGGCTCCCTGGGCCCCCTGAGACCCTGGCCGGCCCCAACTCCTCATGGCCAGGGCTACTGGGCAGGCGCTTGGCAGGGTCATCCCTCTGCCGCCTCCTTCGGCTCCTTCCTCCTTCCTGCAGGGACCTGCCTGGGCTGGGAACGGCGCGTACCCGGATCCGATCCGGATGCTGGCTCAGCTCCTGCCCGGAGCACACGGGGGCAGAGCCAGAGGGGGCTGATTCCTAGGTCCGCAGCCACCAGCCCCGGGCCTGAGCTGCTGCCCCTGGTGGCCCCTTGGCAGGGGGGCTCCCTCGCAAGCGTGGGTGGCGGCAGGATCAATACCAGGCTGGCCCAGAGCGCAGGCCTGGTATTCCCTGACACTTCTAAATGGTGACCCACTTCCCATTAGCCCTCATCGTCGGCACCATCTTGCCGGCCTTGCCCTGAGCTGACCTCCTTCCAGGTGGCCAAAGCATCCCAAAGCCCCACGGGCGGCGGTGCGGGGGGTGGACATGTGTGGGATCCCCCAAGTCCTTCCACTTAGAGGACCACCTCCCTGCGTGTCACAGCCCTGCACTGAGCACACCCACCTTCCTGAGGCGGGAACCAGGGGCCCCGCTTTCCTGGCTGGCCAGCAGCCTGCCAGGGCTGGGGGTGCGGGGTGCGGCAGCAGGACCTGCGCAGGGGCTGCCTCTCCCCCCCAGAGTTCCCCAGGGCCGCACTGATCAGCACCCTGCTCGGTGTCCTTCCCACCGCAAAAGCCTCCTTTCCAGCCCAGCCCCAGCACAGAAGGCCCTTCCTTTTCTTCTTTCTTCCTGGAACGCGGCCCACAGGCTATTTACATAAATATGTTTGTAACAGACGCGAAAATATATACTTTTTTCTGTCTTATTAAAATGTTCAAGTTGGAACTCGCCTATTGTTTGTGGATATCTCGATTCTGTTAAATAAAACAGTGACTAATTTATGGGATAAAACACAAGTTCAACAAATTAAAACCATTATTGGAGCTTCACAGGCCCTGGTGGGCCGAGCAGCCCTCCCATGGGGCCCGAGGGGCGGCACGGAGCCAAGCCCAGACCTCAGCTGGTGAGTGGGTGGCGCGGCCGCAGGGCTGCCCTTGGGTGCTGCTGCAGCAGGGGGCTGGGGGGCAGGGCCCAGGCAGGCCTTGGAGGGCCAGCTCGAGGGGGCTCCCGCATCAGCTGCCTCTCAGGGACTCCTGGGGCCCAGGGAAGGAAGGAGGGCTCGGAACAGATCCCCCCCCCCCAAACACTAACGCTCCCTCCCCAGTTCCCCCCAGGTCTTCCCGGCCCAGACGGATCTCGGCAGACCCACACACAGTGGACAGGAGGGTGGCCCAGCCGAGGTGCGGGCAGGCCCGGCTTCCAAGCCTGACTCAGGACAAGGCAGGCACCAGATCACCAGATAGATCAGGAGGGCCTTGTACCCGGCCCAAGGAGGCGGGCACACGGTCTCGAGGTGCCCCTCCAAACACCCTACAGGGGACAAGGACCTGGGAACCATCAGGAGGCTGCACCAGGCCAGCTCCCTGCCCCGAGTCCCAGGCACGGCCCCCAGATGAGGGCAGAGAGAAGTGGCCACATCACCCACCAGGAGCCGGTGCCCGCCGAGACCATGTTCCTCCACCCCCAAGAGGGAGGGGCTTGCACCTGCAGCAGCGCACCGCTTCCCCCCCACCCCCACCCCCCGTCTGACCCAGGAGGAAGCGCAGTAAAACACGTCTTCATTCTTGGATTTCATGAGCTGCGGTGGTGTGATGCTCCTACCCCCCAAACTGGGACAAACTGAAGAGTTTTGTAAGCTCTCGGAAAGAGCCAGAACCAGCTGCACAGGCTCACGCTGAGCTCAGCAGCCTGCCCGCCTCCCACAGACCTGGCCCGGCTTGGGTGCCACCCGCAGCTGAGTCATCCATCCACGGGAGTCGGGCCCGGCATTCACGAGCCTCCTTGCCCCATCCCCGCCCGGACCCAGCGACAGGCCGGCCCCCTCCCCGGGCCCCGTCGCCAGCATGCCCAGTCGACCTGGGCAAAGGCGGCCCGCTCGCCGGCCCCCGTGAGGTGGCCCTGGCCCCTCAGGCACCCTTGGCCCCGGGACCAGGGCACAGCGGGTGGCAGAAGAAGTGTGGCCGCCCCGAGGCCCAGGTCAGGCCTCCCGGAAGCAGGTGGACAGCAGGGCCCTTCAGACGGGCTGGAGCCCTGGGGACCTTGTGGGGCCAGGCCCGTGCCACTCTCGCTGGGAGGAGCTGCCCCACCTTCTCCGTGGGCCAGACAGGAAGCAGCTCCCAGGAGGCCCGCAGCCAGCACGGGAGGCAGACGGCGCCTGGGGCAGCGCGCCCCAGCTGCTGCTTCTGTGAGCCCCGCACCCCCTGCCTCTCGGGGGAGACACGCGGCCTCGTGGCCTTGGGAAGTCCAAAGCTTTCTCCCCACCCAAGAACCCGCTCGGCCCCGGCCAGAGCCCCTCTCAAGCATCCCCGGAACTGCTAAATGCTGGAAACCACTCTCCCGGGGCCGCTGGCTGGGGGAGGCAGAGGCCGGACACGTGAGTTTGCGGGGGATTTAAAAATGTGGCTGTCACACGAAGAAGGCCCTTCCAGGACTTGCCAGGGAGCAAGGAAGGGCTTCAGACATTCCCCTTACGAAAGAGTAAAATCTTATCTCTTCTTCTAGAAAAGCCTGAACTTTAAAGTGCTCAGTAACTAATAAGATTTGTTCATAATCCAGGTGAAAGGCACCCACGATGCTGGAGG